TAATAGAGGTCTGAAAAGTTGCCAAGTCACCCTTCAAAGGATGTTGGGGGTACTTATTTATTTACTAATGAAAAGTCATTATTTGGTAAGAAGGATGCCTTGAACATTAGAAAATACAAAAGTGACAGGCTATCTGGGAATGGGACTGTATTCCCTTCAATAAAGAATATTGAATTGATGTATATGCATAGAAAATTAGTAAAAGGGTAGGATTTTTTTTAAAAAAATATTTGATACTATTTGTTACCTTGGTCCTCTCACAAAACAATGCCCTGAAGCTGCAATGGGATAGAGTTCTCAATTACTGTGCAGATTAAACTATTTATTGTGTAAGAAACCAGTCTTGAATGGGCTTGTATTTCACTGGGTTGAGGAACCTTTGGATTAAGTATGATATTTGCAAGCATGAATGTTCAATTATTTTTTCAGTGTTCAATGATTTGCTTTATTCTTGTTCAGACTGGCTGCTCTTGCAATAACCATGGAAATGGATGACTTTGGGACCTAGCAAGCTTTATTTCAATTCAGCCTGAGTCCCCAAGAATCCTTCTAGCCAAGGCTGAGCAAACAGCCTAGAAACTATAAACCAAGGTCAGCTGGCATCTCTCTCTCCCCCCCTCTCCCTCTCCCCCCTCCCTCTCTATATGTGTGTATAAGCATGAGGCTTTGAAAAGTTGACTTTGTAAGTTTGAGTAAATTTCTGTCTATGGATATTCTGGAGAAAGCTGTAAACTTTTGGAGTAAGTTGTAAACTTACAAGGAAAGTGTTTATGCATTGAAGGAAAAATAGTTCAGCCAAACTTCAACCACTTTGGTGTCTCATTTTGGAAAGACTATTTCAGGAGGTTGGCGGTAGCTGTATGTAGATTGGGAGTTGTGTACATCTAGATAGAGAACAGGGGTAAGAAATTACTTCCGTGCTTAAGGATACCTGCGTTCTTAACAGAACTGAAAAAGTGACCAAATAGCATGTTACTAAATTACCCAATGTGTAGGCAGTTCCGCATACCTCTTAAAAGACTGTAAGATAAATAGATACACAATTTCACACTGAATTCTTTGATTGTTTAGTAGTTAGAATCTGGTTCAAAGTCTGCTCCAAGATCAGTTTGTCAAATAGAGAATAAACAGGCTGCACTGGAGCTACAAGAATTTAATTTAGTGTTAGCATTGAATAAACGAGATTGCCCCAGGGGAAGGCAGCTCCTTTATGACTTGTGCAAGCAGGCTTACTATTCAGGTGATATATGCACATTGGGCCAGATCGCTATAGTGTTCGGCTTACTACCTTACTCTTGAAATGTGTCTAGTGGCCCCATCTGGTGGCCATATCTGTGTTAGTTAATACAGCATATGCAATTTTTCAACCTAACTTCTGTTTTGCTTGTGGAAAGAATGGCTGATAAGTCTTCCTAGATGCAAATGGAGATTTGGTTTATGATCAAGGAAGGATTCAAAGAGAAGAGCCAGTTTAGTCTAGTAGTTAAGGCACTCGGCTAGAGACCAGGAGACCGTGAGTTCTAGTCACAGTGTTCTAGCAGCCAGTGATCAAATTGCTTATTTCAGCAGGCTGTTGAAAAATAAGAATGGAGGCAGATTTTGGGAATGGAAATGATAAGCCAATAGAGCAGGCAGTAATTGTGAGCAGGTTGCTTGCCAGTTCTAGCTGGGAGACTAAAAGTCAGGCAACTGCTGTGCACATCTGGAAAGGATTCTGTGTCAGCCGAGTTATGTGTTTGTGTAGCATTTAGAGGTTATCTATATGAGAGACTTTAAAAAAAAAAAAAACCGCACTAGGAATGTGCAATGACTCAATTATACACAGAATCTATCAATCTCTTCCAAGCTGGTGATTGCCTGCAAGGAAATACTTTCCACCCAATGCTCAATGTTAAGTTGCAGTGATTCCTTGCCTTCACAGTCCCGAGGAATAGGGTTTGCAAGTGGTACCTGAATGGTTACTGCTAACCTACCATTGATCTGTACCAGATTCCCATTGAAACTTAACTCCTGCACTATTGTGCAAGGAATATTCTGAGGACAAATAAAAGTTGCTCCCACTGAGGCTACCTTTTACAAAGGAAGATTAACTGTGGAATTATCATATAAAAGTGTTATAATTTTTTTTAAAAAAAAGGCTCTGAGTCATGAGACTAACTGGAATTTGCTCTGTGCTCCCTTCTTCAGCTTCATGAAAAGAATATGAGTTGCCTCTGTGATTTAGTAGAACTTCCTCTTGTACCTATAGATGGTCACAGATGGAACTAGAATGCCAGAGTCTTTTCTCATATACTCATCTAATCTTTAGACACTTTTCCAACAGTTTTCTGCCAATTTAAAATTAATGTTCTTATGATCAGGCTACCTACTTCACACCATAGATGCATAGAGCTTAGCTCCGTGAGAACATATGATATTCATAGAGGTGCTGTTTGGGACAAGAGGGAATGGCGAAAATAAAAATGGGAAGTGAGCTAGGACCCAAAAAGATTTATTGTACATGATAATATATAACATTTTAAGGTGCCATTAGACTTTTTTCATATAAGAGACTAAAACCGTTGCTCTTCTTGAAAAGATTGTGGTCATTAAAGACTCTCACACCATTAGACTCAGCCTTTCCACTATCAATTTTATAATTCACCTCTGGCATATTGAAGGTAATAGGAATTGTACTGTAATCTAATTCCTGTGGAGAGGCTGTTCAACAGTGGCTCTAGACTAAAAGCTGCCCCAAAGCACTTTTCAGTTCTGGGCTCCTGCAAATGGATGGTTTTCATTTGTGTGAAATCCATTGGAACAACTGGTACCCACATATCATCTGGCTAAGTGTCAATCAAGAGAATGCTGTGAAGTGTGACAAGGACTGTTCATGAGGATTACGTCCATCTCAGAGTGAGCTACTTAGCTGGAGCAAGATTACTTTTGCAGCCATGCACCTATGCAAGGAATTGTTGGTGTTGGAGTGAAGAGAGCAGGTTGATTTTTACACAACCTCTAACAGTTGGCAGTCCCACCACTTTCCAGTAGTCTTCAAATTTGGTCTTTATACATAAATTTAAATGGATCCAAGTAAATGGCAAATAAAGCAAAATCAGGATGTTTCAGACAAGTTTAGTAAACACCATCCCAAATGCTTTAGTATAATCTTGGAACACTTTTTGGAGGCTAGTGACTTTAAATGAAAGAGGAAAGTTAGGGACTCCCCCCCCCCCATATTTTCAGAAGCAGACCAGGAGCCATGGTGTTCCCAGCCTTGTGTGATTGTGTTACCCTCTTGACAGATGGAAAAATATTCCATCCGGCACATGAGCCTAATGAATCTTGGATTAGACCTGAATTCCATCTCATCTTGTGCATCCTGAAACAAATGAACAAACAGATTCTTTCTACCTTATTGTTTGTTCTTTATCTCCCATGGGGGGAAGTATCCCATTTCCCAGCCCAAACTTAATTAGCAACACAGTATGTTTATTCCTGGTCTGGGCTTCTCAGATACAGCTGATAGTCCCACTCAAATGTTGGCAGAAGCATTCGAAACAAAGCCTAACATCCATCTGCTCTGTAGCCTCTATGGGACAGTGACTAGCTATAGTAGAAAAGCTGGGAAATAAGAATGCCCTCTAACAGAAGCCACTTTAAAAGGATGCAGAAAAGAGAAGCAGCATTATTCTTTCCTTTAGATTGGTGTGTATGTGGGTGTGGGTGTGTTTCAGTTGATTTGGACCATCCTCATTATCATTTTCACCAGTCTCCTTCAAGCTGCTAGACACTGGGGAGCCAGCATCTGCTGTTTGCCTCTTGCGTATCCTTTTTACATACGTGTCACGATTTACCATATATGACAGAGCCTACTGTCAAAGATCATGACACAATTGATCTTTGTAAAGCAGTTTTGGAAATGAGTGCTTTTAGGTTGTCTATTTAAAGACAAACAACATTCTAAAAGATCTTTAAAAGACTTTTCAGAACATCTCCAATAACTTCAATGTTTGACTCATATTATGTAGAATTAATATGAAAGGAAGGATGTGAAAAAATAGCTTTTAAACTCAAGTCTGGGGGTGAAATGCTCTCGGTTTGGACCGGATCGCCTGATCCGGTAGTGATGGTGGCGGGTGGTTCAGAGAACCGGTAGCAAAAATCCCTGCCCCCCCCCATGCCCAGCTGAGCCATGTGATCTTCAGAGGCTTTTTTTTACTTTTAAAAGCATTTTTTCTTCTGCTGAAAAAATGCTTTTAAAAGTTAAAAAAAAGCCTCTGATGATCGCGTGGCTCAGCTGGGATCTCTGACAATGGGCATCAGAGCCTTTTAAAAGCATTTTTTCATCAGAGTCTTTTAAAAGCATTTTTTCAGCCGAAGAGGTTGTAGAAAAAATGCATTTAAAAGTAAAAAAAAAAAGTTGGCCATGCCCACCGTCACATTACCCCCCACCAAGCCACGCCCACAGAACCGGTAGTAACGAATTTTACATTTCACCACTGCGTAAGTCCATTGCATAGGACTAGACATCCAGTTTAGCAGTCACTGCAGAATCCCAGAGGGCCTATTAAAATGCAACTGTTGGCTCCATGCAACCCATCCTCTGGGTTCAGCTTCACCTGTAGAAGAATCCTTTTCAGTGATCTACAGACCGGTCCACATGAGCAGGGTATATATGCCAACTCAAGAGTCAGGCGACTGCTGCCATCCCATGCACATCCTTTTCAAACTGCAGCTGTGACAGGGCACAGGTCTAGAGGAGAATTTCCAAAGCTTGAGAAAAATAACGGGCAGTAAAGTTTCTCAAGGAAAGAGTGCAAACAAAGCTAAAATAAAACAGGACAAAATTCTGTGGGCTGCAGTTGGTTTCTTCTATATTGGTCTGGATACATTTCTTTTCCCAATATGTAATGTAGATTCTCCAACCCCTTCTACAGGTTCAGTGCCTTCTTTCCATTCTTACCGGTTCATTAATTGTAATTACAGTAACTGTTCTAAACACACCACCATGCACACAGTTTAATAGTATAGATATATTTTATCTTAAAGACAATTTACTTGCAGAATACAAAAATATGCCCAAGGAGGACATGGTGCCTGTTTTCCCTAAGAGGTTTCCAGTGCCAGGACACAAGAAACAGCAAGGCTTAGAAGAAGCCTCACACGCTCTGCGCTTGAGGTATGATCCAGAGGCCTGCAAGCTCCATATCTTACCTGGAATTAGTGTTTTAGAGATACAGTAGGTGGGCTGAGGCTGTAAGGTGTATGTGAAGATGATGTTATTAATTACTGGATAATTACAGTAATGGATTGTGGCACAGGGGAGAGGCCCAGAATTTGAGAATGAACACATGGGTGAAAGAATATAAATAACAAGAAATGAACTGGGCCAACCCTAGGAGGTAGGTCAGCAGGACAAAATTAGTTCAGACAGACATTAAGGGTATGCCCATACCTAGACAACAAGGGACTTCTGCTGCTGCCCTTCCTCCTGGAAAAAAATCCCCACATTTTTTTGGGGAAAAAAAACCCCTTACTTTGAAAAGAGGAGTTTGCTACAGCCAGTTTAGAAAAGGAATGTTCTAGAATCAGTGAGGTGGAGGAGAAAATGCCATTGAATTAACGATTCAATACAGTTCCATCCCCTGAAAGAGAGAACCCGCACAATAGCCTTTGTACTATCCACATATCATGAGTTGGCAGGGATTAAAAGCCGAAACACAGAGCTAAAAAGGGCAGGGTAGATGAGGCTGAAAACTGCATATGGTTCTGAGAGAGTAACATTCAAACAACAGAATGTGCCAGACCCATCTATAAGGACCAGTACTTGGGGGGTTAGATGTATGCTATATGTGCTCTCTGTAGCAATTGACTGTGTGTGAATTATTTTCCAGCCACAATATTTGAGGCCATTGATCAAAAATAGATCAAGTTCATCAACTGATGCCTAGCAGAAATCAACAGTTATGCTTCATAGTTGGAATCTCTTTTAACAACTGATTGCCACTCGTACATATCTAATACATGTTGGTAATGGGATGGAATGAAAGTTATTTCTTAACCTAGTTTGTGCTAACCTTGAGCAGAAGCATCACTGTTGCATCTTCTAGCTAATGTCTAAGTAAGTCACCAGGATCAAGGGGACAGAGACCAAGTGAGATGTTCCCAAATGGGAGGGGCTGGTTTTTTATGTGCCTCGTACCAACACAGATGTCAGATGAACTGGGGAAGGGTGATCAAGCTTTCAGAAGAACTAGGAAGTGTGTGTCTCCTCGGGCACCAACCTGCTCAGAGCAAATATGCAGAGCTAGGATCTCTCCTCCAGTTTTATTAGAGCTGAAAAAGCCAATTCCGTCCATCCCTCCTTTCATTCAGCTCCCGTGGAGAGTATCTGATTCTCAAAACAAAAACAGCTCGTTATCCATTTAAATCTGAATGGCTATTTCAGTTATGCTCGCTCTCAAACCAGAATAAGCTTAGAAATCCAACATGCAGCAGCCATACCTCTCTAAGAAATAGCAAACTGTATGAAGCAACTGGTAGCACCTATCTCACACTAGAACACAGAGCAAACTGAATGGCTTGATTGTACCCAGGGCTGAGGGAATTTCCAACAAGAGGGGCTGGAAGCAAGCAGCAGAAATTCTGCCCCCAGTTCACATTACAATCCAGTCAATAATGCAGATTACTTATTGCTCTAGGATCCCTTCCAATCAGTGGGCCCAGCATCAAAAGGAAGGGCGCTGTAGTATTCCAGAATCATCACTGGTCTGTCCATAGTTTCTGTGGGAGGGGGTCTAGTATGTTTACAGTCCTAGTAGCGCCCAACCTTGGCATCTCCAATGCTTCCCCAGACATCAAAGACAAACTCATCCGGGAAGGCAAAATCACCCAGCTGCTCATCCAATGCTTCTGCAAATTCATCAGGATTTTGCTTGTCCTTGCCCAACTCCACCATGGTAGCAGCTGCAGAGGAAGAAAAAAAAATCAGAAATAAGCATTAATTCTATCCCCAAACACTTTTATAGGGCTATATGTGTATAGTTTATAGAACTAAACATAAATCTAAGGAAGGACAAGGAAACCCTCACATTTATTTCTATTCCTAAGCACAGGAGTAAAAATAGGCAGGAGTAGGTTGTGATCAGCTACAACTCACTGCCTGCCATCTCTTAGCAATTTAGCATCCAGATTTTTAAAAAAGCTTACCTAGCTCTGTGTCACGGATACCCATGTAGCTCTCCAGAAGATCATCAACCTTTTCAATGGCCTTTTCCTCAAATGCAGAGGGCTGTGAAAAAACAAAACAAAACCCAATTGCCAAAATAGCAACAATAACCCAAAATAACCCTTTTGCTAACTGAAAAAACAATCCACATAACTATACCCACTAAGACAGAACTGATGGTGGTTACAATGCAGCAAAATACTTTGGTAGAGGAGAGGAAAAATAAATTAAACAATATGAAAGGAGTTCAGGGGGAAGACGTCTGGTCCAAGATTCGCAAATGTAAGCTTGGTAGAGCAGCCAATCTTTATTACTGCTTACTGCTGATTCACCACTTTTCTTTTCTTTTTTGCCATACAGAATGAGGAAGGAAGGTGAGGCATAGAAAGATGAGGCAGCAGAAGTGAAGCTTGGTGTGTTGCCGGACATCCTTTTCAACAGAGCTTTGTAGCTATCTGCTCTGTCTTATCCTTGGATGGAAGAAAGAGCTCCACTTTCTCAACAGAGCTACTTATCTTTCTGACCAATGGAGTTGGGACCGTGGAATACACACCTGTTCTTCCACGGTGGCTGGTCCCTTGGCCCGTAGACGCAGAGTGCCCCTTCCTGTGCCAAGTTGAGTACATCCGCTGTTTTTGCCTCCTTTGGACCTTTGACTGATCATGTCTAGAATAGAATAAGACAATGTTTGCTGAGGTTTTGCTTGGTTTGCACAGCAGAAACTCCATCTTAAAAACCAACATAGGAAAGTTTGCTTTCATGTCCCCAAGCAAGAGCTTCACAAAAAATGCTTACTTATCATTTTTCAGTATTGTGTGTTCATAATCAAGTGTTACTTTACAGTTTTGGGGTGTGCCACTGCTGACCCACATTTATTAGGTTTTCAGTAACTTGTTAAAGTCATACAAACACCATGATGTACATAGACTCTGACCCAAACAGATACGGTTTTACATTATTGGCATACTGAAATGTTTATGAATTTAAACTCAAATAAAGAATATCAGGAGTCCAAATCCCCAGCAAAGAACATTGAATCCTTTGATATCAGTGGCTGCTAGTAAAAAATGCAGCTTCAGAAATGTTAATTATAAGAATCTGGAAAGAACATTATAAAATCTTATTTGAAAAATGTAAGTGCACACGTAGGAAATAATTGGGAAGGCTACTTGGGATAAAATATGTGAGACAACATATACCCATCAAAATAGAAAAGAAAAGATCTGCAAAACATAAAAAAGAATCTGAATTGCAATACCAATCATGGGACAATGTACCCACAATTGGGAGAGTGGAATGTCAGGGAATTCAATTTTTAAGTGATACTTTTAAATAATTACTATCTAATGCAGATCCTTCACATTCATTCCTCACTCATTCCAAATAGGGAAATGATAATAATAATCAAGTTTACTTACCCCAGTTGTAACTTTCATACATGTAGTTATACAATTCTTTCTGGCATGGCCTATTGTAAATCTGAGTGTACTTAAGAATGGAACTTCACCTTAAAGACAAATTGAGTACCTATGCCAAAGGTGATGTAGTACTCATCAGGCTCAATAATTACTTTTGCCTTTATGGACCCCTCCTTCCATTAAAAATGGTATTACAAATTATATTTTATATGATTTCATTGTATTCTTCATATTTTTACAAAGAACTAAGGAATCGTAAATAATCTAAATATTATTTTGTAATAATAATCAAGAGTTGCAGATTAATTATCTCTATCGCACATCAACATTGCTAAATTTTAGAGTTCACATTTTTGTGGGCCCTAGGCACTGTGCCTCTCGTACCTAACAGATAAGTTGTTCCTGAAGTACCCATGGCAAATTAGAACAGAGTGCTGCTTCCAGCAGAACAAAAAGGAAATCTGTAGTTTGCCAACGGATCCGCATCTCTTTAGAAAGGAAAAAGGCCAAAATCCAGCTCTATAATTAACCAAAGGAAGCATGACCAAAAAAGTTAAGTAGATGCAATACATGGAAATGTTTGCATATTTAAAGAAAGCCGTCACAAAGACTTTGCACAAGTTACTTGTCATGGTTCCAGGTATCACTGCGTATCTTCTATGAAAAGAATGTGTATTCTTTGACAAATTGCAGTCCCCATTTCCTTTGGATAGCTTTAGCAAACTTTCCAACTTTAGGGCAAATTTAGATGGATCTTTCAATTAAGTATAACTTTACCACTGCCAAGGTTTGCTGGAGAGGAATAAAACTGGCACTAAAATGTGTCCTTGCTCACTTCCTATAAACAAGATTTGAAGTGGCGAAACTATGAGCCATAATAGTCCTAATCTCTTTGCTATTTCCCTTGTTCTGCAATCTTTTGTATCTTCTTTGCCATTGCTGTTTTGCACTCAGTGTAGTAGCAATTAAGGGCCTTGCCCTTTGCATATAGATGCCTAAAAATGGTTCTGTTGACCGAACATTTAAAAAATAAAATAAAACTGAAACAACTCCGTTCAAAGTGATTCCTGTTAGGGTACTTGTAGAATTTATTTTCTGGCTTCCAGATACATTACAATAGATTTAAAAAAAAAGAAAAAAAAGAAAATGACATTTTGTATTGTAAAGAGAACATTTCATCAAAGGGGATAATAATATCAGATATTGTTCTGCAATTCTATTTAGCATGCTTCATAAGGGTCCAAATGAGAATTTCCATTTACACAGTCATTCCGATTTAATTTGTTCTTAAGGCAATATTTTTGCTTTCCCCCCTCTCCATTTATGAGCTGTTTTGAAACCAGCAACGGGACTGTTCTTCGTTTATTGTACATGTAATAGAATATTTAGTAACTCATTTTCAAAAACTACAACTAGTTTCTGGCAAATTGCTGCTATTTGTAACTGTCTTTTGGAGAATGCCTTCACAACTTAATACAAATGATAAAGGCAAACATGTCTGTATATTCTTAACGCTGAGGTATGTTCTACTTCTGGCATTTTTCATTTCTATCCTAATTAGATTACTGTAAAAGTTATCTAGAAACAAGATTTAAACAAAGTAAAAACATGTTTCATCTGAATCTGATTTTAAATATCTGCAGACAAGATGGCTTCTGAATATAAGCCTTGAACATGCTGGAATTTTTCATATTTCTGAGGAGAAGAATGTCAGCTCCCCAAAGAGAATTTTTCTACCATTACTTGCAGTTTTTGCTTACTGTCTGCCTCCCTGAAATGGGATGTTCTGTCTTTTCCTTAATTTCTCTCAGGTTAGCAGAAAACATAACTTTTGATAGGTGAACACTCACCCACTCTGCCCACTAACACTTAAAAGAAAAGATTGTGAAGCTAGGCTCCAAGTTTTAAAAAAATGGGCAAGAGGAGGACAGGTACAGAAGTGATTTCAAATCTATCAAGGAGAACATTTCTTTCTTTGGCAACCACTGGTGCAAACTACAAATGGAGAACAAATTAAGAAATATATTGTAGCATTAGTTCTCAAATCTAGTGCCTGATATTAGTTCTCCACTGAAGCAATAAAGTGCTCACAAAAAAGGAGAAAAAATTGACAATGTAAACTATGTTTATTGTATTTGTGTGGTACTCATTTAGTTACATCAAACATTTACATAAATATTTTCCCCTAAAAGCTAAGTAATCTTCATACGAATTCAAATCACCACTTTAAAAGAAACTGGTATACAGGTGGTCCTCAATTTATGACCACAATTAAACTCACAATTTCTGCTGTTAAGCAAGACATTTGTTATGTGAGTTTTGCCCCATTTTATGACCTTTCTTGCCACAGCTGCTTAGTGAATCACTGCAGTTGTTAAGTAACAAGGTTGTTAAGTGAATCTGGCTTCCCCACCGACTTTGCTTGTCAGGAGGTCGCAAAAAGTGATCACATGACCCCCATGGACACAGAAACAGTTATAAATATGAATCAATTGTCAAGTGTCCATATTTTGCTCATGTGACCACGGGAGTGCTGCAACAGTCATAAGTGTGAAAAATGGTCATGAGTCACTTTTTCAGTGTCATTGTAACTTTGAACAGTCACTAAACAAACTGTTTTTAAGTTGAGGACTACCTGTACAGTAATGACTCTAAGAGCAGCTTTAGGAAGCGAGTGGAACAAATGCTGAAGCTTTCAAATGTATCTTGCTCCCTAAAGAAAGCACTAAATCTGTTTTAAATTTGGGAGGTAGCACCACATGTGTGGTCTTGGAAGAACTGTCAGGTTAAAGTTCCAATTGGGATTGGAAGGACACACTATTCTAGGAATGGAGCTGGATGAGACATAAATTCTTTGGCATGATGTTTCAAGAATAGTTCACGTTGTGGGATTGCAAAATAAACATCATAAACTAGATGTGAGGATTACAGCAATCTCTGGGTAAGTATGTTTATCAAGGGCCAAGTAGATTTAAAAATCGTATCTGGGGCACATCTGGAACAAGCAATTGGGCTGGAGAGTAGGTTTTCATGTCCCCATCACAGAACAGGTAGACTAGAGAAATACTGTCAAAGATGGAGTAAATGTTGAAGAAACCACTGAAAAATATACAGGTAGTCCTTGAATACGACCACAATTGAGCCCAACATTTCCACTGTTAAGTGAGACATTTGTTAAGTGAATTTTGCCCCATTTTATGACCTTTCTTGACACAGTTGTTAAGTGAATCACTGAAATTGATAAGTTAGTAACCTAGTTGTTAAATGAATCTGGCTTCCCCATAGATTTTGCTAGTCAGAAGGTTGCAAAAGGCGATCTGGGGACACAGCAACGGTCATAAGTATGAACTAGTTGCCAAGCATCTGAATTTTGATCACATGATCATGGGGATGCTGGAAAGGTTGTAACTGTGAAAAATGGTCATAAATCACATTTTTCAGTGCCGTTGTAACTTTGAATAGTCACTAAGCCCGTGATGGCCAACCTATGGCACAGGTGCCACAGGTGGGCACATGAGCTCAGCAAACGGGCCATTTTCGTCCTCCGGGAGTGGGGGTGGGGATGCCGTTTTCGCCCTCCCCAGACTCCTAGAACAGCTCTGGAGCCTGGGGAGAGAGATAAACGGGTCCACCAGGCTATCATGTGCCAGGAGCAGCGGGAGCGGGCGGGCGGGGGTCGTGCATGGGGGCGGGGCGCATAGAAGTGGGCACATGTGTGCGCAACCCCCCTCCCCCCCGCTCCTGGCACGTGTTGGCAAAAAAGGTTAGCCATCACTGCACTAAGCGAACTGTGGTAAGTTGAGGACCATCTGTATTACCAAAATAGTTACAAACTCAGAATCTAAAATTGTAAGAAAAGGTAACAGAATATTCCAGAGTGAAAGCTTTGCATTTATTCTTTTACCTCTAGGTCTTCCTTTGTAAAATGAAAACCATGATGTAACTTTACTTATCATGATTCTGAATTTTTGTCACATTTTTGTATCAGCTAACAGCATTACTCCAAATTTAGAAAACAGTAACAGGCCTAGTCTTGATTTTAAGCACCAACATGCTTCTTTTGTTTTTCAAAAGTACCAACTCAGTCTATTGGTTCACCTGGTCTGGCTTTACCTACAGTGACTCCCAGCAATTCTTTAGCATTTCAAATAGGATTCTTTCCAAACCTTATTTAAAAATGCTAGGGACTGACTAAGTTGGCAAAGTGACAAACACATGCTACATTCTACATTCCTTCCCTATATGGCT